ACCACAGGCATGCACCACCACGCACAGCTAATTTTGTATTTTTAGTAGAGATGGGGTCTCACCATGTTGGCCAGGCTGGTCTCAAACTCCTGACCTCAGGTGATCCACCTGCCTCAGCCTCCCAAAGTACTGGAATTACAGGCGTGAGCCACCGTGCCTGGCCAATTTTTAAATTTTTTGTAGAGACGAGGATTTCCCTCTGTTGCCCTGGCTGGTCTCGAACTCCTGTCTCAAGTGATCTACCACCTTGGTCTTCCAAAGTGCTGAGATTACAGGTGTGAGATACCACACCTGAATTTCGTTCATTCATTCAGAGGGCACTTTTATATATATATATATTTTTATACCTCAGAAACCATGATGCATCTTACATCCAATGCTGGGAGAAAGCACTACAGCTGTTTATATGGTAGCATCTTTTTTTTTTCTTTCTTCCTTTCTTCCTGAGAGGTACATAAAATGGTGCTTCTCACAGTCTGTGACTTCTTGTTGTTTTTTTTCTTTTTTTGTAAGACAGAGTCTCACTCGTCACCCAGGCTGGAGTGCAGTGGCATGATCTCGGCTCACTGCAACCTCTGCCTCTTGGGTTCAAGCCATCCTCCTGCCTCAGCCTCCTGAGTAGCTGGGATTACAGGCGCACACCACCATGCCCTGCTCATTTTTCTATTATTAGTAGAAACAGTTCATCATGTTGGCCAGGCTGGTCCCGAACTCCTGACTTCAAGTGATCTGCCTGTCTTGGCCTCACAAAGTGCTGAGATTACAGGTGTGAGCTATTGTACCCAGCCTTGCAGCTGCTATTTCACAAGACTTACCTGCTTATGCTTCTAACCACACTTTGCTTCTTCCAAAACAGAAGATTCTGGGTCTTGAATAACAACAAACTTGCTTTATTTTATTTTATTTTATTATTTTTTGTAGAGATGGGGGTTGGGAAATGGCAGGGTGGGGGCGCCAGCTGATGTGTCTTGGCTACGTTGCCCAGGCTAGTCTGGAACTCCTGAGCTCAAATGATCTTCCCACTTTTGCCTCTAAAAGTACTGGGATTACCAGCCAACACATCAGCCTACAGGCTTTATTTATTTATGAGACAGAGTGTCACTCTGTCACCTAGGCTGAAGTGTAGTGGTGTGATCTCAGATCCCTGCAACTTTCACCTCCTGGGTTCAACAGTTTCTCCTGCTTCAGCCTCCTGAGTAGCTGATTACAGGGGCCCACCACCATGCCCAGCTAATTTTTTGCATTTTTAGTAGAGGCAGGTTTCGCCTTGTTGCCCAGGCTGTTTTGAACTCTTAAACTCAGGCAATCCGCCCGCCTCAGTTTCCCAAAGTGCTGGGATTACAAGCATGAACCAATGCACCAGGCTCAGACTTTACTTTAAAATGCAAATGTGCAGCTGGGCACGGTGGCTCACGCCTGTAATCGCAGCACTTTGGGAGGCTGAGGCAGGAGGATCATGAGGTCAAAAGATTGAGACCATCCTGCCAACATGGTGAAACCCTGTTTCTACTAAAAATACAAAAATTAGTCAGGCGTGGTAGTGTGGGCCTATAGTCCCAGCTACTCCAAAGGCTGAGGTAAGATAATTGCTTGAACCCAGGAGGCAGAGGTTGCAGTCAGCTGAGATTGTGTCACTGCACTCCAGGATAGCGACAGAGCGAGACTCCGTCTCAAGAAGAAAAAAAAAAGCAAATGTGCAAATAGTTAAAATTAGTGACAACATGGGGCACTGAGGGCAAGATGAGTTAAAATCTAGATTTTAAGGGAGGGTGGAATGTGGAGCAGACTCCTAGAGGTGGAGCTGGGAGAAGCAGTGTGCACATGGGGGGTAGGAGGGACTCAGAAAGGGAGATGAGGCCGGGTGTGATGGCTCTTGCCTGTAATTCCAGCATTTCGGGAGGCCGAGGTGGGAGGATCAATCGTTTGAGCCCAGGAGTTTGGACCACCTTGAGCAACATGATGAGAACCTGTCTCTACAAACAAAAAGGGCTTAGCCTTGTTTTCTCTTATTGTTTGCCATCTAAACATTTTTAGAACTCATTTATAAGATAAATATGCTGTGAAGATAAATGTCTAGTGACAAGCCTCGAAGACGTATTTTGCATCTGGAAATCCTCCTGTACCTACTCTTGTAGATGACATCTCTGTGCTGGGAGAAAGAACTGGCACTCCTTTTTACAAGAGCAAGAGAGCCAGCAAACCTTAGTGCCCCCAGCAGCAGCAATGGGACGTCCCTACCACCTGGTTATAGCTGGGGGCCCCACTGTGAGGGCAGGCACTTTCCAAGCATTCTCTGGGGTGTTCTGACAACCTGAACAAGGAGAGAGGGCTTGGAGACACTGAGTGACGGACTGACCCGTCCATGTACCCCCAGCTGATAGGCGTACAGGGTCCTCCAGTTCCTCCTGCTTTCTTTCTGTGTCCTGACCAAAAAGCAGAATGCTTTGCCTGCTTTGTGACCCAGCCCACTGCAAGTTTTCCCCAAAAGGCTTGAATTCAAACCAGGGCCTGGAACAGGCACTGACAAAGATATACAGGGGTTTTTTTTGTTGTTTTTTTTGAGACGGAGTTTTGCTCTTGTTACCCAGGCTGGAGTGCGATGGCGCAATCTCGGCTCACTGCAACCTCCGCCTTCCGGGTTCAAGCAATTCTCCTGCCTCAGCCTCCCGAGTAGCTGGGACTACAGGCGCGCGCCACCATGCCCAGCTAATTTTTGTATTTTTAGCAGAGACGGGGTTTCACCTTGTTGACCAGGATGGTCTCGATCTCTTGACCTCGTGATCCACCCGCCTCGGCCTCCCAAAGTGCTGGGATTACAGGCGTGAGCCACCGTGCCCAGCCCCGAAATACAGGTTTAAGAGGGAAAAAACACCAGGCGCGGTGGCTCACATCTGTAATTCCAGTACTTTGGGAGGCCGAGGCGGGTGGATTACAAGATCAGCTGCACTCCAGCCTGGCGACAGAGCAAGACTCCATCTCAAAAAAAAAAAAGGAAAAAAAGGTCCTTAGCCAAATTCTTTAAACCTTTATATACACTTCATACCCTGACCCTTCACTGCTGACACACCTAGGTAGGACATCACTTTTCTCTCGCCATCCATCTGAAGGGTTGCTGCAGCACACTGTCTATAGGAAAGTTCCCCTAATAAATGCTTTGTACCAATTGCTTCGGTGTTTACTACATTCTTTGGAATCCCATCTCAGAATGGTTTGGGGCTCTCCTTTGTGGGAACTCCCCTGCTGCTGCTTTTGGGGCAACTCCGGCTGCAGGTTTGGCAGGATGAAACAAGTGACACAGCCAGGATTGAACCTGAGCCTGTTTGACTCCAAAGCCCAAGCCAACTCCGCTACACTGGCTGCTAGAATTGACAGGCTCTCCTGGAACCTGTTGTTTTGTTTTATTTTCAAATGTCTCAGCAGAATCAAATCATTAGACCTGTTCTGATTCAAGGGTTGCTCCCCACCCCAATCCCCACCACACTAGAGGCTGGATTTGAAGCATCCTTTTCACCTACACCCTTACCCTGCCACCAGCCCTGAAGCTGGACTCAGGCTCACTGCTTTCAGAAAGACATATCTCTGGGTAAAAGTGTGTGTGTGTGTGTATATATATATATATATATATACACACACATATATATATATATATGAGATAGGTCAATGGACTACTTGGTGATTGTTTTTTTTTTTTTTTTTTTTTGAGATGGAGCCTCCCTTTGTTGCCCAGGCTGGAGTGCAGTGGTGCAGTCTCAGCTCACTGCACCCTCTGCCTCCCAGGCTCAAGCAATTCTCCTGCCACAGCCTCCCGAGTAGCTGGGACTACAGGCACATGCCCGGCTAGTTTTTTTGTATTTTTAGTAGAGACAGGGTTTCACCATGTTAGGATGGTCTTGATCTCCTGACCTCATGATCCATCCGCCTCGGCCTCCCAAAGTGCCGGGATTACAGGTGTGAACCACCTCGCCCAGCCACTTGGGGTGATCTTAAATGCAAGGTCCCTATTCCCAAAAGCCTTCCTAGGCTTCAAAGAATAATCCTCTCACCTTCTCACTCCACCTGCTTGGGGACACAGTCCCTGGAAGGGTCAGATAGGATGATAATTCCAATCTGTAGCTAACAATTTTATACTTTATCTTTTATTTCCCATCCATTATTCTATTTGATCCTTATACCAGCCGTGTGAAAGAAGGTAACAAGTTATCACTTATTCTACAGGCAAGGAAACTGATGCTTAGACAGGTTAGGTAGGGTCTCCAGGATTATAGGAAGAGGTAGACGCTAGGCTTGAGTCCAGCATTAGAAATCTCCAGAGATGCCGGGCGCGGTGGCTCAAGCCTGTAATCCCAGCACTTTGGGAGGCCGAGGCGGGTGGATCATGAGGTCAAGAGATCGAGACCATCCTGGTCAACATGGTGAAACCCCATCTCTACTAAAAAGACAAAAAATTAGCTGGGCATGGTGGTGCGTGCCTGTAATCCCAGCTACTCAGGAGGCCGAGGCAGGAGAATTGCCTGAATCCAGGAGGCGGAGGTTGCGGTGAGCCAACATCGTGCCATTGCACACTCCAGCCTGGGTAACCAGAGCAAAACTCCATCTTAAAAAAAAAAAAAAAATCTCCAGAGCTAGGATGTTTTCTAATAAGCCCTTTGTTGGATCTGTTCTAGGGGCTGAGAACTCAGTGAGGCTTAGTAGGATTTTGTATTTTCTTTCATTCTGACTCAGTGCATTTAGAGGGGAGATGGGAGTGAAGAGATTAAGAAGAAAGAGGTAATTCCAGAGACCTAAGCGGGGAGGGATCAGCAGAGGAAAGGCCAGATGATGATGCTGGAAGCCTCTGAGGAAGAGTGGGGGAAAGAAGCCAGAGAGAAAAGACTACTGCTGAATTGTCCGTGGGGCCCACTGAGACTCAAAGCTAAGGTGGGAAGGGCTTCTATCTGCTCAGGATCCAAGAGAGAAAAGTACTTTGCAGATGTTCCCTAGGAGCCTTGGGAAAAACACCTCCCTCCCTCAACAAAGCAGGCGGGGCCTGCTCAGTTGCCCTGGTAGTCACATTGTGAGGTGGTTCCAGTTATAGGCAGAGGGGTCCAAATGGGAAGAGACTGAGGTGGTGGGAGCAGTGGGCTCTGCCTGTCCCCACCCCAACTTGGGGATCGTGATCCCACGATCATGAGTAGTGCCTACCACTGGGAGGCCCGGCGCCGGCAGATGGCTTTGGACCGAAGGAGGTGGCTGATGGCCCAGCAGCAGCAGGAGCTGCAGCAGAAAGAACAGGTGCATGAGATAGGCTGGGTTCTTCAGGGTCCTTTCTGGAGCAGGAAGGGAAGGGAGAATGGAGACAGAGCCCTAGGAAGCTGCTATTTGGTGAATGTTGTTGAGTAGGAGGAAAACAAGGTCGTTTGGTGTTCTCTCAGATAGACTGTCTGTGTTGGGGGGAACACTATCACCTGACTCAATTTCCCTGTTATACTAGTCTGGGGGAGGGCAAGGGGTCTAGGCCTAGGAGGTTTAAAGGAGTTCTGTCCAACAGGGTAACCACCAGCCTGTGTGCTATATTGATCCTTGGAGTGTGACTGAGGAACTAAATTTTAAGTTTTATATAAATTTAGTTTTCAAAAATTTTATTTGGGTCAGGCACGGTCACTCACACCTATAATCCAGCATTTTGGGAGGCTGAGGCGGGTGGATCACTTGAGATCAGGAGTTTGAGCCTGGCCAACATGGTGAAACCCTAAAACTAGCTAGGCATGGTGGCCCATGCCTGTAATTTCTGCTACTTGGGGAGGCTGAGGCAGGAGAATCACTTGAACCAGGGAGGCAAAGGTTGCAGTGAGCCGAGATGATGCCACTGCACTCCGGCCTGGGCGACAGATTGAGATTCTGTCTCAAAAAAAAAAATTTTTTTTAATGTATTTTATTATTGTAATAGAGACAGGGTCTCACTGTGTTGCCCAGGCTGGTCTGGTACTCCTGGACTCAAGCAGTTTTCCCACCTTGACCTCCCAAAAGTGTTGGGATTACAGGTGTAAACCACAGTGCCTGGCATTTATTTGTTTATTTATTTATTTGTAAACCACCGTGTCTGGCATTTATTTATTTATTGAAATGGTGTCTTGCTCCAGTCTTGAACCTCCTGGGTTCAAGTGATTCTCCTGCCTCAGCCTCTGAAGTAGCTGGGACTACAGGCACATGCCACCACGTCCAGCTAATTTTTTTTGTTTGTGTGTATATATAGATATATATATATGCATACATATATATGTATGCATATATATATATCATTGTGTTTTAGGTTTTGGAGTACAGGTGAAGAGCATGCAAGATTGTTGCATAGGTACATACATGGCAGGTATATACATACATGTAGGGACAGGTTCATCCATGTCCCTACAAAGGACATATATATATATATATATATGTATGCATATATATATAATTGTGTTTTAGGTTTTGGAGTACATGTGAAGAGCATGCAAGATTGTTGCATAGGTACATACATGGCAGTGTGGTTTGCTGCCTTCCTCCCCATCACCTACATCTGACATTTCTCCCTATGTTATCCCTCCCCAACTCCCCACCCACCGCTGTCCCTCCCCTAGTTCCCCCTGACAGACCCATGTGTGATGCTCCCCTCCCTGTGTCCATGTGTTCTCATTGTTCAACACCCACCTATGAGTGAGAACATGCGGTGTTTGATTTTCTGTTCTTGTGTCAGTTTGCTGAGAATGATGGTTTCCAGGTTTATCCATGTCCCTACAAAGGACACAAACTCATCATTTCTGATTGCTGCATAATATTCCATGGTGTATATGTGCCACATTTTCCCTGTCCAGTCTATCATTGATGGGCATTTGGGTTTGTTCCAAGTCTTTGCTATTGTAAACAGTGCTGCAGTGAACATTCATGTGCATGTGTCCTTATAATAGAATGATGTATAATCCTTTGGATATATACCCAGTAATGGGATTGCTGGGTCAAATGGAATTTCTATTTCTAGGTCCTTGAGGAATCGCCACACTGTCTTCCACAATGGTTGAACTAATTTACACTCCCGCCAACAGTGTAAAAGTGTTCCTATATCTCCACATCCTCTCCAGCATCTGTTGTCTCCAGATTTTTTAATGATCACCATTCTAACTGGCATGAGATGGCATCTCAATGTGGTTTTGATTTGCATTTTTTTTTTTAAAAAATTTTTTTTTTTAAGACAGTGTTTTACCGTATTGGTCAGGCTGGTCTCGAACTTCTGACCTCAGGTGATCCGCCCACCTCAGCCTCCCAAAGTGCTAGGATTACAGGTGTGAGCCACTGCACCCGGCTGATTTGCATTTCTCTAATGACCAGTGATGATGAGCATTTTTTCATATGTTTCTTGGCCTCACAAATGTCTTCTTTTGTAAAGTGTTCATATCCTTCACCCACTTTTGAATGGACTTTTTTCTTGTAAATCTGTTTTAGTTCTTTGTAGATTCTGGGTATTAGCCCTTTGTCAGCTAGGTAGATTGCAAAAATTTTTTCCCATTCTGTTGGTTGTCGATTCACTCTAATGATTGTTTCTTTTGCTGTGCAGAAGCTCTGGAGTTTAATTAGGTCCCATTTGTCTATTTTGGCTTTTGTTGCCAATGCTTTTGGTGTTTTGGTCATGAAGTCCTTGCCTATGTCTATATCCTGAATGGTTTTGCCTAGGTTTTCTTCTCGGGTTTTTATGGTGTTAGGTCTTACATTTAAGTCTTTAATCCAACTGGAGTTAATTTTAGTGTAAGATGTCAGGAAGGGCTCCAGTTTCTGCTTTCTGCACATGGCTGGCCAGTTTTCCCAACACCATTTATTAAACAGGAATCCTTTCCCCATTGCTTTTGTGAGGGTTGTCAAAGATCAGATGGTTGTAGATGTGTGGCATTGCCTCCAAGGCCTCTGTTCCGTTCCATTGGTCTATATCTCTGTTTTGGTACCAGTACCATGCTGTTTTGATTACTGTAGCCTTGTAGGATAGTTTGAAGTTAGGTAGCATGATGCCTCCAGCTTTGTTCTTTTTGCTTAGAATTGACTTGGCTATGCGGGCTCTCTTTTGGTTCCATATGAAGTTTAAGGTGATTTTTTCCAGTTCTGTGAAGAAGGTCATTGTTAGCTTGATGGGGATAGCATTGAATCTATAAATTACTTTGGGCAGTATGGCCATTTTCATGATATTGATTCTTCCTAACCATGAGCATGGAATGTTTCTCCATCTGTTTGTGTCCTCTCTTATTTCATTGAGCAGTGGTTTGTAGTTCTCCTTGAAGAAGTCCTTTACATTCTTTGTTAGTTGTATTCCTAGGAATTTTATTCTCTTTGTAGCAGTTGTGAATGGCAGTTCCTTCTTGATGTGGCTCTCTTTAAGTCTGTTATTGGTGTATAGGAATGCTTGTGATTTTTTCACACTGATTTTGTATCCTGAGACTTTGCTGAAGTTGCTTATCAGTTTCAGGAGATTTGGGGCTGATACGATGGGGTCTTCTAAATATACAATCATGTTGTCTGCAAATAGAGACAATTTGACTTCCTCCTTTCCTAACTGAATACCCTTTATTTCTTTTTCTTGCCCGATTTCTCTGGCTAATTTTTGTATTTTTAGTAGAGATGGGTTTTCACCATGTTGGCCAGAATGGTCTCCATTTCTTGACCTTGTGATCTGCCTGCCTCAGCCTCCCAAAGTGCTAGAATTACAGGCATGAGCCACCTCACCTGGCCCCTATTTCTTCTTTTATGCGGCTATTAGAAAATTAAAAATTATACATGTATCATGCATTATATTTTTATTTGACACTGCTATTTCAAAGCACTTATAAACTTTAGAAGCACCTTTGGGTTATTTTAAAAAAACACTGGGAGGCTGAGGTTGGAGGATCACTTGAGGCTAGGAGTTCAAAACCAACCTAGGCAACATAGGGAGACCCTGTCTCTACAAAAAATTTAAAAATTAGCTATGCATGGTGGTGCATGCATGTGGTCCAAGCTACTCAGGAGGCTGAGGTGGAAGGATAACTTGGGCCTGGGAGGTCAAGGTAGCAGTGAGCCAAGATTGCACCACTTACTGCACTCCAGCCTGGGCAACATGAGACCCTGTCTCTAATTAAAAAAAAAAAATTAACCAGTCATGGTGGTGTGCACCTGTAGTCCTAGCTATGTGCAAAGCTGAGGCAGAAGAATCACTTGAGCCCAGTACTTCCAGATTACAGTGAGCCAAAATCATGCCACTGCACTGCAGCCTGGGTCACAGAGTGGGAACCTGTCTCTAAAAAATAAAACAAAAAACAAGGCATTTTCAGGGAGTTATTCTCTGTCCTCTGGCACTAAACACTGCTTTCAGTGCTGAGCTCTCAAGGGAGGAAGCAGGTGCTCAGAGACAGTGCTATTTCCTGGGCTGGGGCTGTGCCATGGGTGCTGTCACCCAGCAATAGTTATTGGGTGTTGCAGTAGGTTAGGGAGACAGCCAAGGCCCAATTTCAGCCTCCAGCTCTAGGGAACAGAGATCACCACCACCTATACCTCTCTATTCACTTGCCTTGTTCCTGGAAGTTTCTCTGGCAGATGGGTGATTGGGTGGGGAGAGGAGGACACCACTTGCCTGGGGGCTTCTTGCCAGGAACTGAAGAAACACCAGGAGGAAGAAAAACGATCAGAGAAAAAAATCCAGCCACCTAAGAAGTTAAATATGCCGCAACCACGAGAGGTGAAATTGTGGCCATCATGGGAGCCACCAGAGCCACCACAGTCGCAGCTACCAGTGCAGCCACCATCGCAGCCACCACCACAGCCGTCATCACTGCCACAGGCACAGGCACAGGCTCAGGCGCAGCCACGGCCACAGGCAGCATCTCAGCCAAAACAATCAAGTGCTCCAGCCCCTGGTACTCAGCCCACCCCCAAATGCAGTCTCCAGAATGATTCCCAAAGGCCAGGTCACCAGCCTACTTCAGTGGGGACCCAGAAAGCTGGAGGGCAATCTCTTTGTATGCACAACAGATTCCAAAGGGGGCAGAAAATCCTCACAGACTGTGGGCTGGAGCCTGCGAGTGAGAGGTGGTGAGGAGAGGAGCCCTTTGCTTCCATCCCACCCCTGTAGTCCAGAATCCATATCTACCACCCTACCCTCTCTGACTCTCCCAAGTACCCTCAGCCTTTAATGCCTTGCTGGTCAACTCCCTTTGGGTGGGTTAATGCCAACCTATGGCTCCTTCCAACTTTTGCAGAGAGTGGCTGAGAAGCTGTCGGCCCCTATTCCAGGGTGAGAGTGACCAAGGAGGTGGGGTGGTCAGAGGGTGAGACATGAGTTGTAGGCTTATTAACAGATATATTGAGCCCCTGAAGTCTGGAACTGGGAAGCACAGCTTCCTAGTTGAGAATCTTCAGGAAGAGCTCAGTCTGTGCCTTGCCCGAGGTAGGAGCTTGTCCTCACCACCACCCCCACCATCACCTGGGTAATCAGACACATAAGGAATCTGGCCCTGTAGTGTTCCATCCTTGGAAAATTGCTGGATGGGTAACCGGTACTTTGTTTCATCATCAGGTCTCACGAAACCATGCCAATCTAGCCCCACCAAAAACACTGGATATTCACAACTCAAGGTGAGATAGAGACGCAGACTCTGAAAGACAGACGCTGGGTGGATGAGAATATGTGTATGTGTATATGTGTGTGTGTAGTCCAGAGAAACCTCCTTAGCAGGAGTAAGAGGAAGAGCCTAGAATTATTTCAAATTACTTCTGGATGGTCTATTCCTCTATTATTCCTCTATTCTTTGCCCCATTAAAAACGTTTGGGTAGGAAGCTGGGTGCGGTAGTCCTGGCTTCTTGGGAAGCTAAGGCAGGAGTATTGCTTGCGCCCAGGAGTTCAAGTCCAGACTGCGCAACATAATGAGATCCCATCTCAAAAAAAGAAAAAAGAAAAGAAAGTCAAGTGTGTGGTGGCTCATGCATGTAATCCGAGCACTTTGGGAGATGAAGGTGAGAGGATCACTTGAGCCCAGGAGTTTGAGACCAGCCTGGGCAGCAGAGTGAGACTCTGTCTCAACAACAAAAAATTTTAAAAACCAGCTGGGTGGCCGGGCGCAGTGGCTCATGCCTATAATGCCAGCACTTTGGGAGGTCAAGGCAGGTGGATCACAAGGTCAAGAGATCGAGACCATCCTGGCCAACATGGTGAAACCCATCTCTACTAAAAATAAAAAAAAAAAAAATCACTGGGTGTGGTGGCACACACCTGTAGTCCCATCTACTCAGGAGGCTGAGGCAAGAGAATCACTTGAACCCTTGAGGTGGGGGATGCAATGAGCCAGGATCACACCACTGCACTCCAGCCTAGGCAAAAGAGCAAGAACAAATAAATAAAAAATAAATAAAAATATAAAGGAAAGAGCATTAAAAGCACTTAGCTTGGAGTCCATCTCATTGTAGGCCATCAAACTCAGGATGGCAACTCTTTTTTTTTTAAGTCTAACTCTGTCACCCAGGCTGGAGTGCAGTGTTGCAATCTCAGCTGCACTCCACCTGCAACCTCCACCTCCTGGGTTCAAACAATTCTCCTGCCTCAGCCTCCCAAGTAGCTGGGATTACAGGCATGTACTACCATGCCCGGCTAATTTTTGTATTTTTAGTAGAGATGGGGTTTCGCCATGTTGGCCAGGCTGGTCTCAAGTGATATACCAGTATCAGCCTCCCAAAGTGCTGGGATTATAGGTGTGTGCCACCATGCCCGGCCTGGATGGCAACTCTTAAGAATACATAATTGTGCAAGCATTGGAAAGGTGTCTGTGACAGAGGTGCAAAGGATGAAAGAACTTGAGGCTAGCACTTCTAGGATGAGGACTGGCTGCTACATTTCACTTTGATTCCTCTGGTCTCAAGGAGTTTCACACAATGTTCTCAAACCAGAAGCCACTGACTTGCATTGTTTCCTGTCTCTCCCTCTTCTCAGTCTACTGACTACATACAGCAGTGGTGATCCAGAGATTGAATACAAGACCTCAGTGGCCATCCCCAAAAAGCAGATAAGCGACCACATCTTCTCAGCATCCAGCAACATCTCCACTCCAAAAGCCACCCACTCGAAGAGGAGGCTGCCAGGAATAAAATGTAATTTTTTTTTCCTGGAAGGAATCATGGGACTGGTCAGCTTTTGAGAAGGGATGAGGGGAGAGGGCAGGAGGACTCACGAAGGGGATGGAGAGGGTGGAAAGAGAGTGGAAGGCAAGTCTATCCTCCAGGCAAAGCTAATGGGAGAACTGGGTCTTGGGTTTCCCCAAGTATGCAACTCCTACTACTATCACTACCTGCTTTTATTCAGCAGTGATAAGTCTATTGGGGGCTTCAGCTTATGACCGTCACTGGAGCCGTCACCCATTCCCCCAAGCCCATGTTTACTGAGAGAGACTGGGGAAGGAGGGGCCGCATCACATCAGAGTAGGCCCGCAGAAGCAGAAAGTGGTGGCAGGCAGTGATGCTCCCTACCTCCAAGCCCAGTGCAATGTCTGGCCCACAGTGGGCACTCAGCTGTCAAATGCATGATGGGGGCAGGGATGGAAAAAGCTTGGAGGAAAGGGGGGCTGCAGCCTCAGAAATATGACACCTGACCCTGGGAAGGGGAGGGGGGCTTGCCTTCTAAAATTCACAGGTCTCTCCCTTCCTGGCTCTCAGCTTCTCCATCTATCAGGGACCCCAGGCATCCCCCTCACCAGCCCAAGGTGAAGGAGCGGGTAGGGCTGGGTGTCAGGAAGGTGCAAGCCCTGGGAAGGCCTTTCTTCCTCCAGGCTGAGAAAGGCTGCCTCAGTCACCTCAATCACAAGCCCCACCCAAGGGATCTGCTGGGTATTTCATTGTAGCCCACATAGCATTGCCTTTGGTTTGCCTGAAGGGGCCCTTTCAGTGCAACCCAGGGACATTTCCTGGGAGCAGCTGGGGAAGATAACAAGATGGTGGTGGCACAGAAAAGGAATAGTAAAATTGGAAGAGACTTCAGAGATACACAATGGGAGAAAGAGGGAGAGAGGGGGAGCTCCTGTGAACAATCTCAAGGAAACCAGAAGAGCAGGACATGTCATCAAGGGCTCAGAGGCCTGGGGAAGAGACTTTGCTGCCCACTGGAACATTAAGAAAACAGTTTCTGCCAGACATAGTGGCTCAGGCCTGTAATCCAAGCACTCTGGGAGGCCGAGATGGGTGGATCACTTGAGGCCTGGAGTTTGAGATCAGCCTGGCCAACATGGTGAAATCCTGTCTCTACTAAAAATACACATTAGCTGGGTGTGGCGGTGCATGTAACCCAGCTACTTAGGGAGTCTGAGGAATGACAATCACTTGAACACAGGAGGTTGCCACTGCACTCCAGACTGGGTTATAGAGCGAAACTGTCTCAAAAAAAAGAGAAAAGTTTGTGAAATAGGGAGTATCCTAGGGAGTATTCACCAGCTCCCCCACTCCCAAGAGACTTTTTTGAACACTCTTTAAGTATAGTTTATTCTATACAATATAAATACTTTACATTTGGCAGACTATATACAGCAGCTCCAGTCTGACTTCCCTGGACTTCTGTGAGCTTGCCAGCACCACCTTGAGCTCAGCTTGGAGACAGCACGGCCTCCTTCCTTCCCCTCATTCCCCCAGTCAGCTAGTTACCCAGTTCTGTCATCACTTTTTCCTCTCCATGCATCCTACTTCAGATTGAGCTTTCCCCACCCACCTATGCTCATCTTTCTGTCTGAATGATAAAAAGCCAGCCATCTTTTTTTTTTTTTTTTTTGAGATGGAGTCTCACTCTGTCACCCAGGATGGAATGCAGTGGCATGTTCTCAGCTCACTGCAACCTCCACCTCCTGGGTTCAAATGATTCTCCTGCTTCAGCCTCCTGACTAGCTGTGATTACAGGTGTGCACCACCATGCCTGGCCTTTTTTTTTTTTTAATGAAGTCTTGCTAATGTTGCTCATGTTAAACTTGAACTCCTGGGCTCCAGAGATCCTCCCACCTCAGCTTCCGGAGTAGCTAGGACTACAGGTGCGTACCACTGCACCTGGCTGTAAAACCAAGCCACCTTTTTTTTTTTTTGAGACGGAGTTTTGCTGTTGTTACCCAGACTGGAGTGCAGTGGCACAATCTCGGCTCACTGCAACCTCCGCCTTCTGGGTTCAAGCAATTCTCCTGCCTCAGCCTCCCGAGTAGCTGGGACTACAGGCGTGCACCACCATGCCCAGCTAATTTTTGTATTTTTACATTACAAAATATAAAAATACAAAATACAGTAGGGACGGGGTTTCACCTTATTGACCAGGATGGTCTCGATCTCTTGACCTTGTGATCCACCTGCCTCAGCCTCCCAAAATGCTGGGATTATAGGTGTAAGCCACCGCGCATGGCCACCAAGCCACCTTTAATTAGCAAATATCCTTCCTGTTCCGCTAAAATACAGAAACCATTTCCACTAGAAGTCAGTGGGAACCTATGGGTTATCTGGGGCTTAGCCCCGGCTGAGTGACAGGAAAAAGAGGGTCTAGACCAGTCCCTGCAGATGTGCTGCTCCACACTGTCAAAGCCCGATGACAGATGAGGCCTCTGGGACCAGAGTGGGCCGTGGTGCTAAGGTGGTAGTGGAACAGAACCTAGCAGCCTCAGCTGGATACTGATAGCTTCATCTCCTTTCAGATGAGAGCAGCTGGGCCCACTGTTTGACCTACCTATGTCCACTCACATGGGCTAAGGCTATGGACTTAGAGACTCCCATTTTTTTTTTTTTAAGATGGAGTTTCGCTCTTGTTGCCCAGGCTAAAGTGCAATGGCACTATCTCAGCTCACCACAACCTCTGCTTCCCGGGTTCAAGCGATTCTCCTGCCACAGCCTCCCAAGTAGCTGGGTTTACAGGCAGGCACCACCATGCCGGGCTTATTTTGTATTTTTAGTAGAGACAGAGTTTCTCCATATTGGTCAGGTTGGTCTCAAACTTCCAACCTCAGGTGATCCGCCCACCTCAGCCTCCCAAAGTGCTGGGATTACAGACATGAGCCACCACAACTGGCCGAGACACTCCTTTAATAAATGTCTCATACAATGATTCTGCCTTTGGCTCTGTTTTTCCTTTGTAGGCCTAGGGAGTGCCAGGTGCCTCCCTCCCCTCCTGTACTATTTTGGCTCCTGCTTTGAAGGGAATAGTAAAACTGCTTTATAGAGAGGAGAAGCTTTAGCTGGAGAACAGCTCTGTCTTCTTAGGAACCAGGGACAGTCAATAACCAGGAAGGACAGAGGGCCAAAGGGCCCTTGCTAATCTTACTATCAGATGGGTGGCAGAGAAGTTAGCAGAGAGAAGGCCATCACCATCATTTTTTCACATGGTCAAAGTTGATAAGCAAAGGAAAGCATCTATGATCCCCTGAAAGTCCTTGGAGATGGCACTGGATGTCCCCAAAGTCATTTTCTTATCAGTGGGTAGAAAATTTGAAAAGGGTCCATGCTTTCTTTTTTCTTTTTTTTTGAGATGAAGTTTCCCTCTTTTGCCCAGGCTGGAGTGCAGTGGCGTGATCTTGGCTTACTGCAAAGTCTACTTTCCTGTTGCAAGCGATTCTCCCGCCTCAGCCTCCTAAGTAGCTGGGATTTTGCACCACCAAGCCCAGCTAATTTTTATATTTTTAGTAGAGATGGGGTTTCACCATGTTGGCCAGGCTGGTCACAAACTCCTTACCTCAGGTGATCTACTCGCCTCAGTCTCCCAGAGTGCTGGGATTACAGGTGTTAGCTACTGTGCCCAGCCAGCAGGTCCATGTTTTAAAAGCCAGATAAAACTACAGCTTTCTCTATATTTAGACAATAGAATTAGCCCCGATGGAGCTGAGGTGAAGTGGCCCCTTCAGACTGGCCAGGTGCTCAGTACTTGAAAGGGCAGGTGCCACTTCTGGGAATGTAAGGTGCCTCAAGAAAATGCCAGGTCAGATTTTCCTCAAGAAAGACCAGCCAAGCACAGTGACTCACAGCTGTAATCCAAGTGCTTTGGGAGGCCAAGAAGGGAGGACTGCTTGAGCCCAGGAGTTCAAGACCAGCCTGGGCCAACAGTGAAACTCTCTGTCTCTACCAAAAAAAGACTAACCAAGGGCAGAATCTAAAAGATTCTGAAGCCCCCGAAAGAATCCGGGCGACTCATAGGATATGAGTGTGTGTGTATGAAGTTAACTTCAAAGCGAGCTCCCTGTGCTGAAGAGGGAAGAGCGTGATGAAGCAGGGCTTCTCCTTTGGCAAAGCCTCTATAGTCCTTCTTTAGTCACCAGGGAGTTGTGGGAGATGTAGATCAGGGTTACAGGTGCCTGGAGTACAGGGACAGCAGACAGGTCATGGTGGGTGAGGGGTCAGCTGGTGGGGCACTGATGCATTTCCTCGGCAGTCCACATATTCATAGCTCTGGAAGACCAGCTGCTCAGAATGGCTCAGGTAGGAGCAGGTGAGGGTGCCCCTGGAGAGGAAACAGGCCTTGCTGCCATGGCTGGGAGGAAAAGCTCTGGCCCTGTTATTCTGCCTGGGGGTGGGGAGGAGGGGCTCCCTCATTTTCCCTTCCCTCTGGCTCCCACTCTGCCAAGGTAGCTGGGACACCTGCCCCATCTGTGTTCCAGCAGCTTCCAGACAGCCCTATGCCTGTTGCCCCTAATAGCTTACAGGCAAGGTAAGACTTAGAAAAGGGGCCAGACTTGCTATTCCCAAGAGCCAACAAAGACTCATGGGGTCAGCTTGGATGACTCTCTGCCCATGAGGAGGAGCAGAGTGAGACTGAAGTCAGAAGTGATGGCAGGGATACCAGAGCTCCAGGCTCTACTTACTGGATGTGTAAAAGCACATGGTGGACTTTGATTTTCGGCCAGGTACAGATTTTGCTGAGAGAAAAAGAGAATGTGGGACCATGTGTCACATGGAGCAGCCTGTCAGCTCAGAGGATGCCTGCAGATCCCAGTTTCCTTATCCCACAGACCCCTTTCCCTCCATTAGGTGCCCCCAAAATGCCACTCCCACCCCTCAGGTGAGTGTGGCAGCTGCACTATCACTCTGACCTCCACTCACTTGGCCCAGGCACATGCTGGACCCCCCACTCAGTAGAAAACAAAGCATTCATCTTCCTCAGCGATGCAGGCTGAAGAGCTCAAGGTCACATATTGTAAAGATTAACCAAATTCCAGCCTGTTTTTCATTCTAATCAAGGTCCCAACAGGCGGAGGCTGGGGACCCTGAACCCTTGCTTATTACATTCTTGGCCATGGGAGGGCAGGCCAGATGCTGGCTGCAGAACTTGCCAAGCAATCAGGAAGGCTGGTGGGTATTAAGTGGGTTCCTAAGGCAGGCGAGCAGCTAGGGGAGAAGAGATCAAGGGGTACTCACTATGTGTTTTCATCCTGTATCCTGGTGGCTACTGCATAAAACATCTGTCAAACAAATGGGCACAGGGTTAGCCCCAACTCCAGCTGACCCTTTCTCACCACCACACATCCACACTCTGGTGGGCAGGGCAGGCCAGGGAGAGGAGAGTCACCTGTTCACTAGCCAAAGGGCCAATGTGTAGGAGAAGGTTGTTGGAAACCTGCCCTACCACGAGGGACAGGTGCAGAACCTCAAGAGTCAGCTGTGTCACCGTGATGGGGTAGTAGTTGCCATTGAAGATGTTTAAGACATTCTGGGGATGAAGAAAAAGGAAGGGAGGAGTGAAGATGGCCCATCCTTAGGAGAAGCCAAATAGTTGTAGAGGCCTGGCTGGCTGGCCTGAGCCCCATGATAAGCTTCAGGTGCAGAGGACCAGTACCAGGAGCCCTTGGGAGGGGCTCTGAATGGTGAAGAAGTTAAGCTGGCGCAGGATCCAGACTCACCCTGTACGGCTTCTTTCCATTCAGTCCTGTCCATCCAGGGAGTCTCAGGCACTGTCACCCCACTCCGCCCCTATGATTTACTTATCTGGCCCTGATTCTGACCCCTTACTGTGTAGAGTCCCAATCCTTACCATCTGTCATGGAGCTCATGGTTGCTCCTACCTCTCTTCAGGCTCCCAACACCCTCTGCGTGCCATAAGATCCCCGGTTTCCCATGCCCAGGGTCACAAAAGTGGACAAAGGTTATGGTGAAGTATTGCTAGGAAGGGGGAGGATGGAGCCCAAGGGCACCCACCCACCGTTATGTTGAGGTGGATATCAGACTCGCCAAAGGCCACCGTGGAGGAGTTGAGGCCTGCAGGCTGCACAGGGATGGACCGGGGAAACAGGAAAAAGATGACGAAGGAGGAAGTCACCAGGCAGATGAGCACCGTCAGGAACACAAAGAGCTTCCTGTGGGAAAGCAGGACCCAGGATGGAGGAATAGAAAAGTCTGAACACCAAGGAAACTTGGGGAGGGGGTTCAGACACTCCTTTCCATATACAAGGCTTTCCCCTGCATATCACCCCAACATTTAGCTCCCCAGATGTGGCCCAGAGTGAGAAGACGCACGGAACTGGGAGGCAGGCAGCCTGGTTTCCACTCCCAGCTCTCTGTTCCCATTGACCAAATAACATGGAGCAGCCCGCTTACCTCCTTAACTCTCAGTTGGTAAAAGGCAGATAATTGTACTGACCTCGCAGAATTTGTTATTGGCTAATATATGAAAAAATACTAATCACAGGTCCTTGCACATGGCAAAAGCACAATGAATGTTAATTATCACTAGAAGAAATAAGTCCATATTTGGAAGTTCTGAATTTTAACATTCAGAACAGGACAACAACCATTCAATTCAAAATTCAGATACGCATTCGAGAGACAGTACTTTGTTAGTATCTTATGATAGGCACTGCTAATTTCTTATTTTATTTTTTTGAGACAGTCTTGCTCTGCCAGTCAGGCTGGAGTGCAATGGCACAATCTCAGCTCACTGCAACCTCCACCTCCCAGGTTCAAGCAATTCTCCTGCCTCAGCTTCCAGAGTAGCTGGGATTACAGGCACCTGCCACCAAGCCTGGCTAATTTTTGTAAAATACAGGGTTTCACCATGCTGGCCAGGCTGGTAATTTTTTTTTTTTTTTTTTTTGGAGATGAGGCCTCACTATGTCACCCAGGCTGGAACACAGTGGCGTGACCTTGGCTCACTGCAGTCTCCACCTCCCAGGTTCAAATGATTCTCCTGCCTCAGCCTCCCAAGTAGCTGGGATTACAGATGTCTGCCACCATGCCCAGCTAAGTTTTGTATTTCTAGTAGAGACAGGGTTTCACTGTGTTGGCCAGGCTGGTCTTGAACTCCTAACCTCAGGTGATCCACCTGCCTTAGTCTCAAAGTCCTGGGATTACAGGCATGAGCCACTGCGCCCAGACTAATTTCTAATTCTCGTACAGTGGGGTGGCTGAGAGGGTTTGGCTTGGCAGGGACTCCCAGGCTGACACCAGGCCCTTGGGAGGAGGCTATGGGAGTTCCATGTCAGATAGACTCAGATCACAAATATGGTGGGTCCCAGGGGTGCCTGAGGTTCTGAAATGTCCCAGAACAGGGAGCAATAGGTTTTTCATCTCTACTGGGAGAAAAACAAGCAAGTCTGAAGTGCCTCAGCCAGGGAAGTGCTTTAGAAAATGTTTTCATATCAATTGCAACCAGGGCCACATGGTTGTTCCTCCTTCCTGGGAGGACTTCCAGTGCTACTAGATCCTTTCTGTCTCGGAGAGGGGGTCATGCTTCCTGGAAGCAGTGATGCTTAAGGAAGGCTACCAAGTGGCTTCATGTGACATCTGTGCCCACAGCTTCTGTTGCTTCTTTTTTTGGTAAAGATGGGGTTTCACCATGTTGCCCAGGCTGGTCTTGAACTTCTGAGCTCTGGATCACTTGAGCTCAGAAGTTCAAGACCAGCCTGGGCAACATGGTGAAACCATGTTTTTTGTTTTGTTTTGTTTTGTTTTTGCAGTGCAGACAGACTTTATTAGTGATATCAATACAGCAGAGGTGCCGCCCATGGAGCAGGGGTAAGGGACCCATGCCTGGACCAGTCCCCTCCTCCTCCTGCCCTTGCTGGGTCCTAGGAGGATAAGGCCTGGCCTGGACCAGTTCCTCCTGTTCCACCTCAGCCTCCCAAAGTGCTGGGATTACAGGCGTGAGCCACCACACCTGGCCCTAGAGCTTCTTAAATCAGGAAACATCCTTGGACATAAGGAGCTGGTACCTCTGAGCCCAGTGAGGTTCAGGCTTTCTATAGAAGAACTAATAGGAAAAAATCAGGGGGGATCAAAATAGAAGAGACAAAGGGAGCAGCCCCCAGGGGCGTTGGCTTATGGAGCTGGGGGAGGAAGGGGAACTTACGTATGCTTGGGCTTCAGCCTCTGGTCCCCATAGGGGATGAGAGCCACCAACTGCTTCTCCAGCTCTAGAGAGGGAGGGAGGGTGAGAGGGAGGGCCAAGATGCAATTGTGACAAATATTTCCTGTGCCAGCCTCCCAGAAGCACCCCTCCACCCACACCATAGAGCAATTTTACAAGCATGCCACCTCTGCCCCAGAGCAGGACTGGAAGCACTGGACTCTGCTACCAAAGTTGGCAGCTCAGCTTTACCATCCCTAGAATTGAAGTAGGATTTCCACTAATAGGTATGAAGAATCTCTGAAAGTCACCAGCAAATTAGAGGTTCCCAGCATCTTCGGAAAGGTAATTTGAAACTTCTTGAACTGAACAAATCCTAAGACACACAGTGTTGCTCAGGAGCCCAGTGGCTAGAACCCCTCTTTCCCACAAGGGGCTGGGGAATACAACCAGGGCAGGAGGGCAGGTTTTTGCAGGGAACCCAAGGATAAGTATCTCCCTGGCCAGCCCGAGACTGGGAGGTCAAGAAATGGGAGATCTAATCCTATCTATGGAGACTCAGAAGGGCTGCCCTAGACCAACAGACTAAGAACTTTCCCTGGATTCCAGCCTATTTCCAGAGCCTTGGGCCACTCACCTTGGGGAATCCTGCCACTGCCTTGGCAGGTGGGACATGTCACAAAGCTGGCACCAGCAGTTCCTTCACAAGGCACCCAGGAACAAAAAGACTTGCTGCTACTGGTACTGGAGTAGCTGGCAGCCTTGCTGCCAATGGTTGGATTGGAGGACAGGATTGACTTGTTCTCATTCTCCTGCCAAGAGCCCAGCTGGGAAAATGTCTTACCCATTCTTCAGGGTGGGGTGGGGGTTCACTAATGAGAAAAGACCAAAGTTCAGTGCTAAGCTTGTTAGCACTGAAGCCAGATGCAATTTTGGTTTGAGGTTCTCAAGATTTGCAAGGGGCCGGGCGCGGAGGCTCAAGCCTGTAATCCCAGCACTTTGGGAGGCCGAGGCAGGTGGATCACGAGGTCAAGAGATCAAGACCATCCTGGTCAACATGGTGAAACCCCGTCTCTACTAAAAATACAAAAAATTAGCTGGGCATGGTGGCGCACGCCTGTAGTCCCAGCTACTCAGGAGGCTGAGGCAGGAGAATTGCCTGAACCCAGGAGGCGGAGGTTGCGGTGAGCCGAGATTGCGCCATTGCACTCCAGGCTGGGTAACAAGAGCGAAACTCCTCCGTCTCAAAAACAAAAAAAAGATTTGCAAGGAACCCCACCACAGTTTAAGTAAGCTCAAGCCTAAGGAAGATAGAGTGTGGTTACATGGGATTCTCAGAGTCTCAATGCATTTCAACTCCTTTCATTATTGTTAAAGAGACCACTCTGCCTCAAAAGGGAAAAGAAAAGCAGAAGTTATTTCACTTTAAGGAACGTCTGTAAGTGAATGGCAGAGGATTTAGTTTTTCTCTGGAAAAGTTGCTGAGCTATCATTCACTTCAAAGGAAGGAAGTTGGATAGGGCAGAAAAGATTCCTTGAAACAAGGAGAGAGGAGGCCAGACTGGTCACAGGTGTGGTTAAGACCCCTAAGGAAGCCCTGGTAGAGAAAGCAGATGCCGCACTGCTTTCTCAGGCGGGGTAAGAAACCCTGAGGAGAAATCAGGGTCTTTCACTAGGAAAAGTCAAGGATAAATCTGGACTCTGTGTGGCACAAGGAGGCCGGCAAGTGAGCCACACAGATCTTTCTGGGCTAAAATACAGGGAGACTCGCCTCGTTCAGTTCTGGGATCCCAGGCTCCTCAGCTGCATAAGGGCGACATTTCAGGAGTGTGTCTTTGGGGAGAAGGGCCTCTAAGGGCAGAGTGGGCTGGGTTGGGCGGTGGTGGGGAGGAGAAGCGCCGCCTGCCGCCTTCAGGAGTCCTAGGGGACCGAATGTGTCGCACTAGAGAGTGAGGATACTAAGGACCCTGACCTCCCCGAAGGGCCAAGCTGATTCCGGGGTACATGGCGGCTCTGTCATGGGCCGACAGGGTGTGCGCGGACGCAGAAGGTGTGACTTCATTGAGGGAGGATTTCAAGTCCCACCAGATACCCCGAGAGGCCGTTAGTCAAGTTCGGTACCCGGGCACGGGGCGCCTGTGTGTAGGGCGAGGCGGCGGCACAGGAGGTCTCTTGACCTCCGAAAGGGAACGCAAAGAGTCTGAGGAGGGTCTTACCAGCGGACTATCGCAGCGACAGAAACGGCAGCAAGCGGAATCGAAAGTGGGGAAGCGGACACTCGCCTCAAGCTTTGACTCAGTGCCCAGGGAAGTCCCGCCCCAGCCCCTCTGGGCCCACCCCCTCGTCCCCGGGCCCGCCCCTTCGCCAAGCAGCGGCCTGAGACGCTCTCGGCTCTCCAAACGTCACCTGAGGCCCCGGACGCTGCTTCGGCAAGGACTAGCCAGTCCAGGTAGGAATTTCCAAGAACATTTATTTCACCATTCTTTAAGTGGTTACGTAAAATTAAAACGGAGCGGACGACCCGGACCTTCCTGGCCCTCGACTATAAAACGCCGATGGTCAAGACAGGTCCCGCCCATCAACCCAATTACAGACACCCAGCTGCTCCATCTTCAATCCGGAAGCCCTAATTAAAACGTTTTAAATAATGAACGGCCTGGTTGGCTTGTAGTTTTAATCCTGGTTTATTTAAGTAGCATTCAGGATAATACTGCAAATAAACATCATTATGGCTAATGACTAATTAAAATCACCATTCATTACAAATACCAACCAGGTTAGATAATACTATTTTAATTATCTTTCCCCCCTTCGGTCTGGGGTTCAGATTCTTCCTTTTCTGGAAGTCATTTTCATGGATAAAATGTTTAGCATTTTTTGTTACCTCTTCCTTCACCAACTCCCTTCTGTAAATAGAGAACTTGGGCCCCTGGACGAGCTCTGTCCCACTTACCTTGGGGTTAAACCAAAACTTTTTCAGCAACTTTGCCCTCGTCCAAGTTCTGCAGAACACCAGCTGCCTCTTCCTGTTCTAGGCTTTCTAGGGCTAGATACCTCTGAATGGACTTCATGCATTAAAGAAGTCATCAGCATTTCCTATACCTCATACGCACTAATTTACCCACCCTGAACTTTACTGACATTAATTTAGGAGCCTGCCTTTTGCTTTTCACATGTTTCTATTTCCCCCACTGTACTGTAAAATAAGATCTGCCCTGACATTAAGAAAAAAGGTAACTGTTAAATGTATTTTTCCCTTTAAATAATAGGACTTTTTTCCTTTTCTATTAGGTTAGCAAAATATTTCACACTACCTACTTAATTTTTTTTCCCTTAAATAAAAATGTATGCAGAATTACTATAACAGACATCGCTCAATAGGTGCTGGTGGGTTAATCAGCACACTCTTCCTCCTCTCACTGAAATGCAGAGATCCCTGAAAGTTGGATACCCTTGAATGCACCATGGAGTCTTTAGCAATAGTGCCAATTATTAAGTCTTGCAGGAAAATTACTTTCTCCTTGAGAAAGGAATAACAACAACATTTCTATCATGCTCTGGGTGTTATTTCAATGCCAAATAACTATGAAGCTTGGGGTAGATTACAGAAATTATGAGAATAGTTCTTGAAAACAACTTCCAAGGTTAATTTCTTTCAAAACCTGAAAATTAACAGATACTCCCATAAAATATCCACATTAACCAAAGAAAAATACCCAACTTCAATAAAAGCAGAAAGAAAAATGGTTCTATACGAACTTGAAGTTACACTTGTCGATGCACTAAAATAAAGGCGTTTTATCCAAATCAAAACTGTCTTCCTACTATTCTATTCATCCAATGTCTAAAGTGAAAATTTAAGTTCTGGTCTTTGATTTGCTCCCCCAAATACTGTAATAGGTACTGTCTTGGTAACTCAATGATGGGCTCTATACAGATTCATCAGATGAAAAATAAGCAAGTGCTTAACCCCAATAACAGAATAAAGATCATCTCTGAGCAGCAGGCAATTATTTAATACAAGGTCACTCCTCAATAACGTTGGCTGTACCAGTCGTTGTTGTTAATCTGAAGAAGTTCTGTCACAACCTGCAGGATGTTGTAATTATGTTTCTTCAGCAGCCGCAGGTTCAGCTGCCTGTCACAGAATCCCATTTCAAAGAGATGGGCCATCAGGGCTGCTGTCTGATCTTCAGAAACTAATGGCTGTGCAGAGACAAGAAAAGCAAAAAAAAAAAAAAAAATTCTGTATAATTTAAATGTTTATTTTGTACATTTTTATCATCTTGTAAGCATACCAGTCTTTCCAGATTTATTCAAAGTGCTAGGGAATTAGATTCAAGGCTGTGTCACTCCTGTGTACTTGACACCAACAGTTCGGACGAGGAAGGTCCTGTCTTAGATTAGGTATGCGTGTACTTGAAGGAGGAGAAAAGGGAAACTGGGGAGCTAGTAAACTGTACTTCGTACTAGGAGGATGCTTCATGGGGGACTTTCAGGAAGAAGCATTTTTTGGCCAAATGAAGGAATGACAGCAAGGCCCAGAGACCTTGTGAACATAAAGGTAATTGTGATGGTGAGGCAAGTATGAGCAAAATCAAAGTGTTACTGAAAGATGGTATGAGAAATATTGTCAGACATGCATAGGAGCTGGACAAAAAAAAAAAAAGCTTGGGAAATTACAACCTGGGAAGTCGTCTTGAGTTTTTCTCCTCCAAAAGAATAGGTAAGAGAAAGTTAACCTTCATCCAAGTCCTGCAGTAGAAGCACTACCTTCCCAAATCCTCCTAATTATGCTGTTTGTTTGTTTTTTGAGACCAGGTCTCACTTTGTTCCCCAGACTACAGTGCAGTGGTGTGAACGTAGTTCACTGCAGCCTCAGCCTCCTGGGCTCAAGTGATCCTCCTGCCTGAGCCTCCTGAGTAGCTGGGACCACTGGTCTGCCTTACTACACCGGGATAATTTTTAAATTTTTACTAGAGATGAGGTCTCACTATATTGCCCAGGCTGGTCTTGAACTTCTGGGCTCAAGTGATCTTCGAACTCTGGCCTCCCCAAATGCTGGGATAGATGTGAGTCACCTCACCTGGCCTCTGGTTCTGTTATTGTCCCAATTTCACAGACTGGGGATGAAGCTGTGCAGCAGAAAGATTATTTAAACTTTGGAGGCAGACATACTTAGACTCAAACCCTAATCTACCATTTACTTACCACCATTTACTTACCAACTGTGCTATCGATTCCTTTATGAACTGAAGATGTATCAAACCTCCTACTTTGCAGTATTGTTGAGAAAGTATGTAAAGATGGGAATAGTATGCAAACATGTTGAGCACAATCTGGTATTTCCCTCACACCTGATTCCACTGTTCCCTTCTACCTTCTTATTTCAGAATAGATTATCCATCCTCTTTTCCAGGTTAATAGAATGTACCTTGCTTTGTATCTCATTACCTCTCATTATTTCAGAAATCTTCCTTCATCTCCAATCTGTCTCTCATCTTTATCATTAACCTCTTTCACTACTGGCTTGCCCATCTCTAAAGTCTCACCCATCTTTAAAAATGTTTGTCTTATGTATGCTAGCTTCTGCCTGTTGTAGCCTAGCTATTTGAAAGTGTGGCATACTTGCACACTCAAAGTCCTCACCACCCGTTCACATCTCTCTGTAGCCATGTCCCCCTTATTAAAACACCCTTCCTCTCCAGCACAGAACTCTCTCTTCATTTTCCTCCTAGTTCTGTTTTCTTCCAGAGTATTTTTTTCCTGATCCTTAAAGGTTGCTTCTTGCTTTCCCCATTATTCCTGGATCATCTCATCCCATCAGATGATTCCTGCTATAATCTCTAGACAAGTGACTCTTTAACCTTATATCACCAGGCCACATCCCTCCCCTATGATCTGGATGGATACACCTGGCCTGCCATATCTGTAGGTTCCTTATCTATGGACCAATCAACTAAGGGTTGAATATATTTGGGGGAAAAAAAAGGAACATGTACAAACTATTTTGTCATTATTCCCTGAACAATACAGTATAACAACTCTTTACATAGCATTTACATTGCATTGGGTACTGTAAGTAATGTAGAGGTGATCTGAAGCATATGAGATGCACTGGATGCAGTGGCTCAAGCCTGTAATCCTAGCACTTCGGGAGGCTGAAGCAGGAGGAATGCTTGAGGCCAGGAATTAGTTGCCCTGGGCAACATAGTGAAACCCCATCTCTTCAACAATTTTTAATTTTTTTTTGGTGCTATGACTTGGATTAAAAAAAAAAAAAAAAAAAAAAACTAGCCAGGTGGATGGGTGTGGTGGCTCATGCCTGTAATCCCAGCACTTTGGGAGGCTGAGACAGGCAGCTCTCCTGAAGTTCAGAGTTCGAGACCAGCCTGGCCAACACGGAGAAACCTGTCTCTAATGAAAATCCAAAAAATTAGCTGGGCGTGGTGGTGCATGCCTGTAATCCCAGCTACTTGGGAGGCTGAGGCAGGAGAATTGCTTGAAGCCAGGAGGTGGAGGTTGCAGTGAGCCGAGATCATGCCATTGCACTCCAGCCTGGGTAACAAGAGTAAAACTCTGAAAAAAAAAAAAACAACCAACCAAACACACAAAAATCTAGCCAGGCATGGTGCTGCCCACCTGTAGTCACTGCTACTCCAGAGGCTGAGGTGAAAGGATTGCTTGAACCCAAGAGTTCTAGGCTGCAGTGAGCCACCATCTAGTTACTGCACTCCAGCATGGATGACAGAGCAAGACCCTGTCTCTAAAGATGTGCTAGGTTACCTGCAAGTACTATCCGGTTTATATAAGCGACTTAAGCATCTATGGATTTTAGTATCCATAGGGGTCCTGGAGCCAATCCCTCATAGATACTAAGGGACAACTGTATATCCAACTGGACTCTGGATATCTTTACCTTTACCTGGATATGCCGCAAACTCAACAGTATTCAACAAAACTAACCTAATGCTCTTCTTTTGCTCAAATACATCCTTCCCAGCATATCCTATCTTAATGAATGGTACTAAGCCAGAATGGTATTTAAACATTGCCTAAGCCAAAAACTTAGAATTTATCCTTGATTTCTCCCCCCGCCCCCAAGACAGTGTCTGGCTTGGTTACCCAGGCTGGAGTGCAGTGGCATGATCTTAGCTTACTGCAACCTCTGCCTCTGGGGCACAAGCTATTTTCCCACCTAAGCCTCCCAAGTAGCTGGGACTACAGGTGTGCACCACCATGTCTGGCTAATCTTTTGGTATTTTTTTGTAGAGGCAGGGTTTCACTATGTTGCCCAGGCTGGTCTTGGACTCCTGAACTCAATGATCTGCCTACCTTGGCCTCCCAAAGGGCTGAAATTACAGACGTGAGCCACTGTGCCTGGCCTATCCTTGACTTCTTTTTAGCCACTTAATTATTATCTCAAAGTTATGCCATTTCCATCTCTTAATTATCTTTTCTACCCTTCTTTCCACCAATACAAGGATTCTCTTATGGCTTTCCTTTATTTTTTTCTCACTCTGTCTCTGTCACCCAGGCTGGAGTGCAGTGGGGCAATCTCAGCTCACTGCAACTTCTGCCTCCCAGGTTCAAGCAATTCTTCTCTGCCTCAGCCTCCCAAGTAGCTGGGATCACAGGCATGCACCACCACGCCAGGCTAATTTTTGTATTTTTAGTAGAGATGGGGTTTCACCATATTGGCCAGACTGGTCTTGAACTACTGACCTTGTGATCCACCAGTCTCAACTTCCCAAAGTGCTGGGATTACAGGCGTGAGGCACTGCGCTCTGCTGGATTTCTTTACTGCCTCTACCAGCCTCCACAATGTAGCAGGTGATCTTACTAAGAACCAATCTAAACATGTTAATCACTACCTTCAAACCTTGCCATCGTTCTTCCTATCAGCCTTAAAATAAAGTCCAAACCTCATAACACAATAACACAACATCCTGCCTATGTATTTGGTCTTTTTTTTCTTTTTCTTTCTTTTCTTTCTTTTTTTTTTTTTTTGAGACAGAGTCTCACTCTTGTTGCCTATATTAGAGTTCACTGGTTTGATTTTGGCTCATTGCAACCTCTGCCTCCCGGGCTAGTGCGATTCTACCTCCTTGGCTGCCTGAGAAGCTGGGACCACCGGCATACACCACCATACCTAGCTAATATTTTCTATTTTTAGTAGAGACCGGGTTTTGCCCTGTTGCCAAAACTGGTCTTGAACTCCTGGATGCAAATAATCTACCCACCTTGGCGTCCCAATATGCTGGGATTATGGTTGTGAGCCACCCGGCCCAGCCAGTCTTTTTTCTTCTTCCCCTTCTCCTCAGACCAGATTCACACTCCATGCTCACATTTCCAAGTCTTTTTTACTGGCTACTCTGTCTACAATGCCCTTTCTATACCTCATTACTGAAGAACACTTACTCGGTCCTTTAGGACTCAGTTCAGGCATCAGCTACAAGAAAGCCTTACCTGGGCACACCAGGCTGAAGTGTCACATCTGTCTAATGGCACTGGCATAGTATCTTACTATGTACTTTAAGTATCTGTGCATCTTACTTGTTTCCCATAGATTCTGGGCAAGATTCAGTGTCTTTCTTGTTTTTTGAGACAGGGTCTTGCTCTGTCACCCAAGCTGGAGTGCAGTGGCTCCATCATGGCTCACTACAGCCTCAATCTCCTGGGCTCAAGGGATCCTCCCACCTTAGCTTCCCAAGCAGCTGGGACTATAGGTGCATGCCATCATACTTACCTAATTTTTAATTTTTTTTTTTTTTGAGACAGAGTCTTGCTCTGTTGCCAAGCTGGAGTGTAGTGGCGTGATCTCTGCTCACTGCAACCTCTGCCCCCTAGGTTCAAGCAATTTTCCTGCCTCAGCCTCTTGAGTAACTGGGACTACAGGTGTGCGCCATCACATCCAACTAATTTTTTTGTACTTTCAGCGGAGATGGGGTTTCACCAAGTTGGCCGGAATGGTCTCAATCTCTTGAGCTCATGATCCACCTGCCTCGGCCTTCCAAAGTGCTGGGATTACAGGAGTGAACCACTGTGCCCAGCCCAATTTTTAAATTTTTTTGTAGAGATAGGGGTCTCACTATATTGCCCAGACTGGTTTCAAACTCCTTGGCTCAAGCAATCCTCCCACCTTGGCCTCCCAAAGTGCTAGGATTACAGGTGAGAACCACCATACCTGGTCAAGAACCAGTGTTTTATTCATGCTATAGTGCCGACACCTGGAATAGCTTCTCTCTATAGAAAATATTAATAGATGGTCAACAATAGGTTCTTCTCTTTTCTTCCCTTAAGTCACATGGCTAGAGTTGTACAGTTAGAAAGTGGCAGAGTTGTGTTGTGTGTTAACTAAAGACTAAATCTAAAGCCTATGCCCTTTCCACAATGCCATGTTACTCTTCAACCCAGACAAATGCCACCACTTTCGCTTGTGACCTGGAGTTGAGATTCAGGAAAATAAAACACACACACACACTGACCTGTGCAGTGACTGGTGGCCCAGCAAACAGGGCCTTGTATGCAGAGGCAGCAACAGACAAAGCCCCCTTCACCAGTCCTCCAGCAATGCTGCTCCCATGGTGATGCCTGTAGAAGAAACCAATTATCCCCCCAAATAAACACAAATCATTACCTTTTAAAAAGATAATCTGGGCTGTAATCCTTGGAAGAAAACAAGATTTCCTCAAAAGAAAAAAATCAGATGTAAAAAGAGAACATGATTGCTTTCGTATCACCTTTATAGCTACAGATCATGGTTTGATGGAGGGCCCAGCTCTACTGGTGCAAGATATGGGCACTGTAGGAAACATACCACTCTGGTAACCATGATGGCTCTCACTCCTAGCTGAAAATTAATGTGATCACGGGCACTCCAGGATATCCACAGTTTGCTCAATTATCCTCTCAGAGAAAACACCTTGCAAAGGAAATGTGATTTTTCTGGACACTGTTCTAATGTGATTGGGAGCAGAGAAGCAGGTATATCTAAGAAAAAATTACTAGATGTATACTGGGTGTAACCTTTCTGTCTTCTCCCCTGGTGCTAAGGGTGAGGTAAATCTGGGGGCATTCCTCTCTTGTTTGGAACACAGAACACTCTTTTTTTTTTTTTTTTTTTGAGATGGAGTTTCGCTTGTCGACCAGGCTGGAGTGCAATGGCATGACAAGCTCACTGCAACCTCCGCTTCCTGGGTTCAAGGAATTCTCCCACCTCAGCCTCCCAAGTAGCTGGGATTACAGGCACCTGCCACCATGCCCAGCTAATTTTTGTATTTTTAGTAGAGATGGGGTTTTGCTATGTTGACCAGGCTAGTCTCGAACTCCTGACCTCAGGTGATTCACCCGCCTCAGCCTCCCAAATAGAACACTCTTAAACATCAGCCTTAGCCCTTTGTTCAGTGTTGCTCAAAGGGTTTAGAAGAAATAAGAACAAGAAGGAATGAGGGCTATCCTTCTCTGCTCTCTGAAGATGGGTACATGCTGTGAGAGGCTCTTTTAAGCAGAAGCAATACTAGGATATCCACCTGCTTCTGAAAAAGAGACTGCACAAGGTTGTTACCTTGAGTGGTCATAGCTCTTCTGTCTGCTGTTTCTAAGTCCTGATGAGCCTCTGGGCTCTAAAAGCAAAAGAGCTGTTGGTTAGATGCGGCATCCATAAGCACCTAGTGTTTCCTAACTCACAGCAAGGCTATGAATGAGGCAGGTGGCAATCTGATCACAGTGTTTGAAGTCTTTTTTTTTAAGTATTTGGCAAGTTTTAAGGGTAGCTTAAGTGATAATGAGAAACTGTCCAGAATTGTAATGCAAGATGACTGTTAATTCAATCAGAAAAATTAACTCTGTAATCCTAACAAACTGATATATTTTGTAGTAAGGAAACAGACTCACAGCCATTATAAACCTGCTGAACTGCAAGTAAGGAAAAGTGGGGATGGAGCTGGAACCTAGATTGGTATGGCTCCAAAGCCTGTGTTCTTTCCACTACCTCAAAGAGGTCTAACAATATAGTTAGCCAGAGAATAGAAGTAAAGGTATGTAGGAGGAGCATGGAGACAGTGAAGGGCAAGTTTCTAAAAACCGCCAGGAATCACGGAGAGAGAGAGAGCCTGTTTATACCTGGTTTCCATTAGATAGGAGCAGAGAAAAAGAAAAAGCTCAGGCTGATCATTACCTCCTCTGATCTGATCAGGGACTGAAGAAGCTTCTGGTATGGTAACTGGTAAATCCATTCCTGGGGAACCATGATGATGTACACAAGGAGGGCTCCTTTCAGAAAGACACAATATGGAAAGTAAATTGAAAAGGCACTTATGGCAACAGTGGAGAAAAGTAAACACAGCACAGCAGTGCCAAATTCTCTAGAGGCTTCATATTTCTGATCCAGATCACATGTCTGGATTTAGGGTTCCATCGTTAAGAACTACATTCTACCCCGTTTTCCTATGCAGCCACAGCCAAGCTGGAAATGTTGGCTTCAGTCTGGTCATGTCTCCACCTCTATCAGTTGGTGTCAATAAATGAAAATGTCTAGCTTTTGGGGAGAATAGTTTATGTTATAGTCAAGGCTTTGGCATTTTCCCTACTATTAGGAGACAAGAATGATTCAGAGAGATTCACCAGAGAATTAAAAATAATGTTTTGTTTTTTTTAATCAGCCCCATAGAAACAGGACCTCAAAAAATTGGATTAAGACTCAGAATTGTTCCTCTCTACAGAAATCTTTAGTAAAAGGCAAAAGATTTATACAATTTGAAGAGAAACCAGAGTATTGTTTGGTTTTTTAGTGTTTTTTCCCATAAGGGATTTAACTTCCTAATTACGGCTGTTTTTTGAGATGGAGTTTTGCTCAATATCAAAAACTCGGTTGAGTTTTTGCTGCCTTTACTGAAGAGTCAATAAAACAAGGAGGGAAGGTACAGGGATGTTTGTGTTTAAAAACTGGCTCTTGGGGCCGGGTGTGGTGGCTCACACCTGTAATCCTAGCACTTTGGAAGGCCGAGGCAGGTGCATCACCTGAGATCAGGAGTTCAAGACCAACCTGTCCAACATGGTGAACCCTCGTCTCTATTAAAAATACAAAAAATTAGCCAAGTGTGGTGGTCAGGAGGCTGAGGCAGGAGAATCACTTGAACCCGGGAGGCGGAGGTTGCAGAGAGCTGAGATCGTGTCATCACTCTAGCCTGGATGACCATGTGAGACAAAAAACAAAAACAAAAACAAAAACAAAAACAAAAAAAACACTGGCTCTCAGCCAGGCATGGTGGCTCACACCTATATTCCCAGCATTTTGGGAGACTCAGGCAGGTGGACTGCTTGAGGCCAGGAGTTCAAGACCAGCCTGGGCAATATGGCAAAACCCCACTTCTAAGATAAATAGAAAAATTAGCTAGGTGTGGTGGCCCGTGCCTTTAGTCCCAGCTACTCAGGAGGCTGGGGTGGGAGGATTGCTTGAGCCTCAGAGGCAGAAATTACAGTAAACCAAGATTGTGCCACTGCACTCCAGCCTGGGCCACAGAGTGCACTCCAACCTGGGCAACAGCCTGTCTCAAAAAAAAAAAAAAATACAGCCAGTTCTCAGTAATCAAAATATAAGTAGACAGACTATACTCAGATAATTTAAGGCCAACTAAAACAAGTATTTCTTTAAATCCAGAATCCACAAATACTGGGAAATATGACTTTTATTCATCTAAATTCAGACTTTACTATGGAAAATAGTCTCTTCCCATACTGAAGAAAAACAGGTTTTGAGATCAGGTTGGTTCCTCTCACTCTTTATTTCACCTCTGAAGAACACCCCAGCTGAGGGGGATGTGAGTGGTACCTGGGCAGTGGTGGTGGAAGCTCCACTACCTCTGGGATTAGGGGCACTGTTTCCAGAGTCTGTGAGGTCATGAGGATGTCATTTATGCTGTGCTCCTGTGGCTGGTTCTCCCCTCCAGGGAGTCTCTCCCCAGCCTCAGCTGGTTCCTGCCCAGCCTCAACCCCAGGCTCGCCTTCAGCACCTCGCTCCAGGCCTGGCTGTGAGAGCGCAGAGCTGTACATGGAATCCCCCAGGGGGCGGCTGGTATCAAAGCACTCAGGTAGGATGATGATGTAATCCTCTGAGGAAGCAGAGGATTGACTCTGAACTTCATCTTTGAGCTCATCCTCCTCCTCTTCCTCCTCCTCCTCCACGACTTTTTCCTCAGTGATATGGACAATCTCCTCCCTCTCATCTCCAAGTGGTCCTTCTTCAGGCAAGGCAAATTTCACTAAAGGATGAAAGCAACCAATTTTCAGGTAGAAGTTAAAAGCAGCCCTAAGTACTGTCCTTACTTGGTAAAGCCCTGTGGAGCATGAGCTAGAATCATGAAAGCCAGAGGAAAGGGAAGAACTAGAGGAAGGCCTGGTGCTGGAACCATGACCTTATTCTAAGTTTGAAGGCTATGCAAAATGAATTAGAATCAAAGCTCACAGAAAGAAGGTAGGCAGAAACACCCAGGCTTCCAAGAAGCTCTATGAATCTTAAAAGGAGGCGGCTCCATCCCTCCCCTTTTCCTTTTCATGTGATGGTTAATAGACTGAGGTAGAGTTGTTTTTTTTTTTTTTTTTTTTTTTGAGACAGAGTTTCGCTGTTGTTACCCAGGCTGGAGTGCAATGGCACCATCTCGGCTCACTGCAATATCCGCCTCCTGGGTTCAAGCAATTCTCCTGCCTCAGCCTCCCGAGTAGCTGGGACTACAGGCGTGTACCACCATGCCCAGCTACTCTTTTAGTAGAGACGGGGTTTCACCTTGTTGACCAGGATGGTCTCAATCTCTTGACCTCGTGATCCACCCGCCTCAGCCTCCCAAAGTGCTGGGATTATAAGCGTGAGCCACTGCACCCGGCCTGAGGTAGAGTTTAAACCAAAACTGATATACTGGCTAACAGTGTTATAAAAAGAGAAAAAGTTAGGAGATGAGTATTGCAGGATTATATACCTATTCTCCTCCTCTTCTTTATAAAGATGATGCAGTCATGGGAGAAAACTGGCAAATCATGGTTGAGAGGGTAAAAAAGGATATAAAAAAGATACCCAGGCCAGGTGTGGTACGTTACACCTATAATCCCAGCACTCTGGGAGGCCAAGGCAGGCAGATTACTTAAGCTCAGGAGTTTAGGACCAGCTTGGGCAACATGGCAAAATCCCATCTCTACCAACAAGAAAAGCTAGCTCAGTGTGATGGCATGTGCCTGTGGTCCCAGCTACTTGGGAGACTGAGGTGGGAGGATCACTTGAGCCCAGGAGGTTGCGGCTGCAATGAGCCGTAATCTTGCCACTTGCACATCAGCCTGGGCATCAGAATGAGACCTTATCTTAACTTAAAAAAAAAAATCCCTGTGGATCCTATCAGAATAACAGTTGTGAACATATTGGTATTGTTTTTCCAGACCTTTTTGTTATGTACGTGTATACACGTGGAAAAAAAATATAAAGATATACATGTATACTTTAAGCAAAAGTGAGATAAATAATATTTAAAGATATAGGTAAAATTTCATCATAAAGAGATTCTTCATTATTATTTTGATGTACTACATTTGAATTTTTTGATACTTCTTAAAATATATGCTTTGGTTTATCTATCTGTTATCTAGAAGTTTCTGTTATAAAGGTATTTACAGCAGAATTTAACCTTGAGAAACTTTGTTTGGTACTCCTGCTTCTTTCTACCCACTGTTTGTTCGACTGCTGTCCTTGGAGAAAGCAGACAACTCAGCTACCCATAGGGGCCTCTGCTAAGGAGCTCTGTCAAATTACAGGAAGATTCCTTACTGCAGAATCCAGGCAGCACAACTGGCTGCTGTTCCACTGTGGAATTGAGCTGTAATTCTGCCCCTGAGAAAATGGAGAAACGGGTATGGTGGCTTCGTTGCTCCTGATGTTCTAATTAGAACAATCAGGTAGCATATGTAGAGTCTAAAGATACAAACAAGATCAGAATTTCTGACAAAGATCACTCTGCCTTCACTCTCAGTGAAGAAGAGCATATCTAACTAGTCAAGTCTGGCAGTCACAATTCAGGTGGCAACCAGCTAGGTGGGGGAAATGCAAGGACACTCACTCTGCAAGGACTTCTGTCTGTAAGGAGGGTTGTGATCTGGGGCAGCATCCAAGGTAAGGGATCGGATTACTGTCTCACACACAAACTGGGTCCCACTCAGGTCTTCTTCTGCTTCCTCCACAGAAGCAATGTTCTCAGCCTTCCTCTTTACTGACACCACAGAATCTGAAAGACACATAAACCTTGTCTGCACTTGATGTTTAAGGTGCTGAGGAACATTCACCAGTGATTACCCATGCTAAAACTAAACCAAGGAATAGCTGCTATCTCTACCATGTGAAGGTGAGGAGATGCTACAGAAAGAAAGCCCATTTACATGCTAAGGTAAGATTAGTAGGGAATAGCTGTAAAATAGAGTATGGCATGGAAAGGGAGGATGCAAATACTTTACAAATATTTAATCCCTTACCAGGAAGTGCTTTAAATCCTGCCCCTTCACTCTCTTCCTGTATCTGCCCCAAGCCTGGCTTCTCAATTAAAGGACTGTCATATGGCAGAGGAGACATGCAGGGAGTCATATCTGGAGAATGAAGACAGGAGAGCCATCAATCAAGAGAAAGCATCGGATCATCAATAGTCAGTGTCCAGAAGTAGCAGTTTGTAGGCTTCCTGCCTCCTGCAGGGCTAAAATAAACCCAGATACGCTTTGAGGTCTGTCAAAAAAATTTCCAGACCAATAGGTATCCAAGAATCACAGATCAATCAATGCAGGACAGTTATTTGGCCTGGAAAACTGTGGCCAAGACACAAAACCATGAATACGAAGGAACAAAAGGACACAAATATCTACAGAAAAAAAGCGGAACCCTTTATGGTGGAAAAGCCTTGCACCAGACTTGTATTATTGTTTGTTTGTTTGTTTGTTTTTTGAGATGGGGTTTTACTCTGTCGTCTGAGCGGTGGTGCAATTCTGGCTCACTGCAACCTCTGTCTCCTGGGCTCAAGTGATCCTCCCACTTCAATCTCCCCAGTAGCTGAGACCACAGGAGCAGGCCACTATGCCCAGCTAATTTTTTTTTTTTTTTGAGATGGAGGTTTGCTCTTGTGGCCCAGGCTGGAATGCAATGGCATGATTGTGGCTCATGGCAACCTCCACCATCCAGGTTCAAGTGACTCTCCTGCCTCAGCCTCCCGAATAGTTGGGATTACAGGCATGCACCACCATGCCTGGTTAATTTGGTATTTTTAGTAGAGACAAGGATTTTCCATGTTGGTCAAGTGGTCTCGAACTCCCGACCTCAGAAGAACCGCCCGCTTTGGCCTCCCAAAGTGCTGGGATTACAGGTGTGAGCCACTGTGTCTGGCCATGCCCAGCTAATTTAAAAAAATAATTTTTGTAGAAATGGGGGTTTCACCATGTTATCCAGGCTGGTCTCAAACCCTGGCCTCAAGTGATCCTCCCACCTTGCCCTCCCAAACTGCTGAGATTATAGGGAAAAGCCACTGTGCCTAGCATATTGTTGCTTTTGACAAAGGACAGCAAAGAAGGAACATGGATCCATGATTGCTGCTTTACTATCCTATCCGTTCCATGTCCTCAGAATAAAACACTACCAGTGTCTAGGCTATGGTACTTTTGTGCCTATCACTAAGATGAACAAGATGAAATGAGTGACATTCTTACCTACAGGGGTGTTGTGGGGCACTCTCTCCAACTCTTGAACAATGTTTATATCCAA